GTGAGTAATTAATGACAGAATTTAAATTTTTGGGTGAACTAACCCTTTAATGGCTGAAAATGTAGCTTTGCCCTCCTAGGAAGAAATTACAACCTACATTTTATTTAAAGAGAAAACATTTCTTTTAAATTGTAATAATATTTCACAATGTTTTACTGTATTTTAAAAATTTTTTTTTTTTTTAATTCTCTCGTTTTAGAGTGAAATCTGACCTGGGCCTGTTTTCGTGAGATTCAACCAAAAAGCTTTTACTGAAATCAATGATAGCTGTTGAACTGAATGCTTCTGACCAGCAGCACACTTTATGAAATATGACCTATAAGCTGGAAGTGTTTGAGATACACCTCTGCTTCCAGGTCTAAATGTAGCATTAGTCTCCCCTCAAGAGTTCCCGCTCCATTTGCGTAAAGCTCAAGTTGTCTCTGTGTAAACACCAATGACCCTCTGACAAAAACTCACCATAACCAGCTAACCTCATCTTCCATGTCAGTAGCGAATGCTCTGTTTACTTAAAGAGAGGAATAGCCATTACTGCCCAGAAAAGGCACTTCAAGTGGTGGCTGCATCAGTCATCTAAACCACACTCCCAAAAACACGCTCTGCATTCCACATGTTCTCAAGAGCAATTCCTGCTGTTACTACACAAATACTGCTCCATCTACGCCACATAGACAGTCTGTGCACTTTTAGCACATTTTCTGTGTGAGAAATCTTCAGAATGGAAAACAATTGAATGATTCTGCAGTATGCTTACTGGAGGTTTCTGCAGTTCCGAGCAGGTCATACCTCATATACTTTAGTTTAACAAGAATGTAATTGAATAGTAAATGGCAAATGAGACAATGTGACCAACATTGTAACACTTTATGAAAACCCACCTTCATATCCACATCTCCCAGTGTTAGTTAGCAGAATACAATTTTATAAACTGTAAAAATGCACTATTTTAAGAGTATTTACTCTCATCACTATGAATAGAAAGCACTAAACAAGCTGCCATTGTTCTAAAAATCTTAAAATTGTATAAACGATGCAAACACAAATCGGCACACCGTTTTTCACAGTGCGCATTGCCTATAGTACTGCACAGTAAAGTTTAGTTTAGTTTGCTACATTGTTGTCACATGGCCTCAAGATGTTGCATGTCCAATTCAGTGAGTAACATCCATTTATCTCAGAAATGTAATATTCTATGTTTAAAACTTTTATGTTGGCAGTCCAAATATACAAGCAAACAAGGTGTTGTGGATGATATTACTTCTGGTGGACGGCAACAGTAGTATACTGCTCTGAAAACATCCTCACTATGTCTTGATCCAGATTTGAGTGCTTTAAATGCATTTAGACTATTTTGGGGAGATGCGTTTATTGTCAGTAAGGGTCTGAACATGAAAGCAATGAAGGCTGGATTAAAACCTTCAAAGCGCCACAATTAACCTTTGTGTGTTATGTGTGTGTGAGTGTGTTTTTAGGTGTGGAAGAAGCAAGTGATTAGGACAGTAATTACAGGCTTGCACGGGCGACACACACACACAAATTCTTCCCATTCCGCACAAGCATCTCCAATGCAGAATTACTCCAGTGCTCAGTACACACACGCTTACATGCATAAAATGTTTAACTTATATCACAAATATCATATAAAACCAGATTCACAAAATATTCTTACCTCCTATTTTCTTATTTTTTTCTAACCTAAGAATAAAGTTAAGAATATTTTGTATTCCCAAAAGCAAGAAGAACATTCTAAAACGGAATTCCTGAATTCTATGAATTTGAATTTCTGAAAAGAATGTTCTTAAAAATCATCATAACCTCTTAAAGTTAGAATATCCCACAACTTGTCTTAAATCCCCAAAGGTAAGACATTTAATGAACTTGCTAGGTTTCAAATATTAAGCCTTACAACATAACACGAGCTACATATAATACATACTAATACTACTAGTATACTAGTATGTGCACCGCACAAGTACTCTAAAGCCTTTAAGGAGTTGAGTTGATTGAGTTGATCAAGCCTGTCATTTTCTTTCTTAAGAAAAAAAGGTCACACTTTATTTTAAGGTTCAATTCTCACTATTAACAAATTATTAACTACGACTTTTGCCTCAATAAACTCCTAATTACAGCTTATTAATAGTTAGTAAGGTAGTTGTTAAGTTTAGGTATTGGGTAGAATTATGGATGTAGAATATTTTCATGCAGAACATGTGCTTTATCAGTACTAATAAACAGTCAATATGTTAATAAAATGCATGCTAATAAGCAATTAGTTAACAGTGAGATTTGGTCCCAATACAAAAGTGTTACAGAAAAAAATAATAATAATAAAATATATGATAACTTTTTTTTTTTAAGAATTGCAAGGATTGCTCATAAAGAATTGCTTATAAACATTCTTACAAACTTCTCAGAATTTATCTGAAGAAATTAACTTTTTAACAAGATTTTCATGAATCAGGACCCAGATCCTTAGTTCCTGTTATTGCATATACAAATTCCCATCATAGAGAGTGCTCTGTGTGTGTGTGTGCGTGCGTTTTTGTGGCATATGAGGACACAAATTTGTATAATGACATGGGTATGACACAGGTATTACAAGAAGAAGGTGACTTATGAGGACTTTACCCCATGTCCCCATTTTTCAAAAGGCTTATAAATCATACAGAGTGAGTTTTTTTGAGAAAGTAAAAATGCACAAAGTTTCCTGTAAGGGGTAGGTTTAGGTGTAGGGCAATAGCACATACAGTTTGTACAGTATAAAAACCATTACGCCTATGGAATGTCCCCAAAATTCACAAAAACAAGGTTGTGTGTGTGTGTGAGTGAGAGAGAGAGAGAAAGAAAGAGGTGAACAGAAAGAGTAAAAGAAACCGAGTGCCATTACAGCCAACACAGTGAGTGGGGTTTCCCCCTGGTCTGTGTATAATTAGCTTTATACTATGCTGAATATTATAGGGAATATTAAACACTGTTTAGTATAGCACTATTTTATATTTTACAGTAAATTGACTTAGTTGCTAAAGTTTGGACACAAAGTTTCCCCAATAAGTTGGCTAAACATGACAAAACCTCATAGCGTTAGGGTTTGGTTTAGTCTTTAGTCATTCTAATTAGCTTCATCTAAAAACAATAGAAGTCTATGGTATGTCCCTATTTAAAAAAGCTAGACAAGCATGTGTGCGTGTGCAGTCCCATGTACCTGCGAGCTAATGTGTAAAACAGACTCACTATTTTCAGAAGGACAGAAAGAAAAAGAGAGCCAGAGAAAAGGGAAACTCCCGGATATTTTCAGGAAGTTTTCCAGCAGTCTCTGCCAACACAGACACCATCCAAGAGAAACGCCAGGACAAACGCAGCCTTTCTGATGCTTTTTCTGCTTTGGCAAACATCCAGACATCTTGAAATGAGTAAAAGGGCTTAAAGAAGTGAGGAAAGAGGGTAATGTGTTCCAGAGCTTAGAGATGGAGCCAGACAAACAGAGCGTGGGAGTGTTCATGAGGAGCTCATACCTGTAGCTGAGCTGTAGGACACGGCGATATCTCCACACAAATCCGCTGGAGGATAGTGGCCGTTCAGAAATGCTGAGAATCTCACCACTAACTCGCAGCCACTGCCTGTCAAACAAACAACAAGAAACATAACGTGTAATTTGGTATTAAGGCATGCCAATAGTATTCGGCCAATCACAACGCTCTGGATAGCTGGCCAATCAGAGCATACCTCGCTTTTCAGACCAATGAGGTTTGTAAAAATCGACGCGTTTCAGAAAGGAGGGGCATAGAGGAGAAGCAATAATGTACTGTATGTGGAAAATAATGTGTTTTTTGAACCTTAAACCGCATAAACACATTTCATTACACCAAATACACAAAATACTGTTCTTTTTAGCAGCATCATATGACCCCTTTAAACAGAAATACGTGCACCTTACTGACGAGAATTTTCTTATTTCCAATTATACTTTTTATAGAAGATAGTTGTGACTCTTCTTATCCGAGGAGCCATATTGAAAGTTGTTATAAAATGCTACACATTCTATTAACGCATTAAAGGGTTAGTTCACCCAAAAATGAAAATTAGCCGAGCTAATGTGTAAAACAGACTCACTATTTTCAGAAGGACAGAAAGAAAAAGAGAGCCAGAGAAAAGGGAAACTCCCGGATATTTTCAGGAAGTTTTCCAGCAGTCTCTGCCAACACAGACACCATCCAAGAGAAACGCCAGGACAAACGCAGCCTTTCTGATGCTTTTTCTGCTTTGGCAAACATCCAGACATCTTGAAATGAGTAAAAGGGCTTAAAGAAGTGAGGAAAAAGGGTAATGTGTTCCAGAGCTGAGAGATGGAGTCAGACAAACAGAGCGTGGGAGTGCTCATGAGGAGCTCATACCTGTAGCTGAGCTGTAGGACACGGCGATATCTCCACACAAATCCGCTGGAGGATAGTGGCCGTTCAGAAACGCTGAGAATCTCACCACTAACTCACAGCCACTGCCTGCCAAACAAACAACAAGACAAATAACATATCATTTGGTATTAAGGCATGCCGATAGGTGTGTTCTGTGAGATATGACATTTTATATTAATGTGGCAAGTTGCTACCAACCATTACAACAACTGTAAACAGCCGACTGTTAATGAATTATATTGTTTGTGGGCTAATTTTCATTTTTGGGTGAACTAACCCTTTAATGCAACACCTTCCTACATTGCAACTTGTAACTAATATACACTTAACACAAATGAACTACAACACTTGAAAAGAACACTCATTGGCTGTGGTAGAATCACTTTAGGAGCTTAGATCTTTAATTTATTGAACATTCATATCATCATTATTGCTCCGGCTGCAGTTTTTGATAAGTAAGAATTATGGCTACATGTTTTAAGGAAAAATGTAACTATGATTTTTCTGAAAAAAAAGAAAAGAAATATTACTACTGTAATATTCACTATAAAATAATATAAATTAGTATTTAAGATTAATAATAATTACTATTTATTTTGCATTTTATAGAACACTTTTTTTATAGTAAACAAATATTTATGGCCGTTTTAATTCCTTAATTTCAAAACCTTTAAATTGTTTACATTAGTGGAAAACTGCAGGGAAACCTTAAAGCTTTCTTTTGTTGACAACAGCTGGTTTATAAGCGCTTCTCATTATAAGTTGAAGTGGAAGATGGTTGGCACATGTTGCCTTTCCAAATGCACATTATAAGCGACCCAAACTCAGAGCAGATTGTGTGCACCAGCAATTTACTGTGAACCGAGCCGCTCTGAGAAACTGAAAACACCAGATCAGGAGTAATTCATGTGTAAATAATCACAGTTCCGCACTTCACTCTGAAACCTGCAGCATACAGTGGGTACGGAAAGTATTCAGACCCCCTTAAATTTTTCACTCTTTGTTATATTGCAGCCATTTGCTAAAATCATTTAAGTTAATTTTTTTTCCTCATTAATGTACACACAGCACCCCATATTGACAGAAAAACACAGAATTGTTGACATTTTTGCAGATATATTAAAAAAGAAAAACTGAAATATAACATGGTCCTAAGTATTCAGACCCTCTGCTGTGACACTCATATATTTAACTCAGGTGCTGTCCATTCCTTCTGATCATCCTTGAGATGGTTCTACACCTTCATTTGAGTCAAGCTGTGTTTGATTATACTGATTGGACCTGATTAGGAAAGCCACACACCTGTCTATATAAGACCTTACAGCTCACAGTGCATGTCAGAGCAAATGAGAATCATGAGGTCAAAGGAACTGCCTGAAGAGCTCAGAGACAGAATTGTGGCAAGACACAGATCTGGCCAAGGTTACAAAAAAATTTCTGCTGCACTTAAGGTTCCTAAGAGCACAGTGGCCTCCATAATACTTAAATGGAAGACGTTTGGGACGACCAGAACCCTTCCTAGAGCTGGCCATCCGGCCAAACTGAGCTATCGGGGGAGAAGAGCCTTGGTGAGAGAGGTAAAGAAGAACCCAAAGATCACTGTGGCTGAGCTCCAGAGATGCAGTCGGGAGATGGGAGAAAGTTGTAGAAAGTCAACCATCACTGCAGCCCTCCACCAGTCGGGGCTTTATGGCAGAGTGGCCCAACGGAAGCCTCTCCTCAGTGCAAGACACATGAAAACCCGCATGGAGTTTGCTAAAAAACACCCGAAGGACTCCAAGATGGTGAGAAATAAGATCCTCTGGTCTGATGAGACCAAGATAGAACTTTTTGGCCTTAATTCTAAGCGGTATGTGTGGAGAAAACCAGGCACTGCTCATCACCTGTCCAATACAGTCCCAACAGTGAAGCATGGTGGTGGCAGCATCATGCTGTGGGGGTGTTTTTCAGCTGCAGGGACAGGACGACTGGTTGCAATCGAGGGAAAGATGAATGCAGCCAAGTACAGGGATATCCTGGACGAAAACCTTCTCCAGAGTGCTCAAGACCTCAGACTGGGCCGAAGGTTTACCTTCCAACAAGACAATGACCCTAAGCACACAGCTAAAATAACGAAGGAGTGGCTTCACAACAACTCTGTGACTGTTCTTGAATGGCCCAGCCAGAGCCCTGACTTAAACCCAATTGAGCATCTCTGGAGAGACCTAAAAATGGCTGTCCACCAACGTTTACCATCCAACCTGACAGAACTGGAGAGGATCTGCAAGGAGGAATGGCAGAGGATCCCCAAATCCAGGTGTGAAAAACTTGTTGCATCTTTCCCAAAAAGACTCATGGCTGTATTAGATCAAAAGGATGCTTCTACTAAATACTGAGCAAAGGGTCTGAATACTTAGGACCATGTGATATTTCAGTTTTTATTTTTTAATAAATCTGCAAAAATGTCAACAATTCTGTGTTTTTCTGTCAATATGGGGTGCTGTGTGTACATTAATGAGAAAAAAAAAATTTACTTAAATGATTTTAGCAAATGGCTGCAATATAACAAAGAGTGAAAAATGTAAGGGGGTCTGAATACTTTCCGTACCCACTGTACATAAAAATAAA